AAAGGACTTGAACAGACATTTCTTGAAAGATATAGGAACGGCCAAAAAGCACATGAAGAAATGCTCAACATTAGTCATTCCTCCCCAGCTGCTGACGAGTCGATTTCGACTCATAATGACCCTACAGGGCAGAGCAGAACTGCCCCCTAGGGTTTCCAAAGAGCCGCTGGTCAATTTGGACAGCTGACCTTTTGGTTAGCAGCCTGAGCTCTTAACCACTGCACTACCAGGGCTCCCATTAGTCATTAGGGAAATGCAAATCATGACTATAATGAGCTATCACTTTACACCCACTAGATGGCTATTAGAAAAAGTCAGAAAATAAGAGGAATTCCTGGTACATGCCACAACATGGATGAACCCTGAAAACACTGTTAAGTGAGATAGTGAAATACTGTGATTCCACTTATATGAGTTATCTAAAATACACAAATTCATACATAGAAAGTAGAGGTTACCAGGCACTTGGGGGGAAGGAAGAAGGGGAGTTATTGCTTAATGGGTGATGAAAAAGTTTTTAAAATAGAGGTGATGGTTTCACACTGTGAACTAATACCACTGAATCATACACTTAAAAATGGTTAAAATGGCAAGTTTTGTTACATATATATATATATACAACAAAATTTTTTTTAAAATTGTGATTCCTCTTCTCATAACAAACATACACATAAAATTTTACATATCAATTTAAGGGGTTCATGGACACCCATATCAAAGTATAGAGATCTACAGAAATCCTCAAGGCTGCATACTGTAATGTTGTTGTTAGCTACCACTGAGTCACCCCAACTCATGGTGACCCCATATGTAGAGTAGAATTGCTCCATAGGGTTTTCTTGATGTAATCTTTATGGAAGCAGTTCATTAGGACTTGTTTCCTAGAAGCCACTGGGTGGGTTTAAACTGCCAATCTTTGCGTTAGCATAGTGATTTCCAAACACTAGTTCATGGATTGATGATGAACTATAATGAAGATTTCACTGATGCTTATCAAAGAGAAAAATAAAAAATAGCAAAATAAGGCTAAATTTATATAAAGAATTTTTCTTCTGTGACTTTACCCTTTCTACTTTTTGTATGTTCTTTAATGAATTGGCATAATATTTGGTTATTGGTCTAGAGAGGCAGCAGGATATCACAGGCTAGCCATGGAATATATGAGAAACATATTCTCCTTGGGACTACTGGGATTGAGAGGTTAAAGCAAAGAAGGAACCAGTAGAGGAAGAGATCAAGAGAATGGAATGAGAAAGGTTAGCACTGATGGACTCAATTTTCTTAATAAGTTAGATCATTCACTTAAAATATACATTTAAAGAATATGGCAAAGAAAAAAGTGGAAACACTGCAATGAGATCAACTCGGGTATCATTCTTTAGCTAAGACTCAGTAGTAACCTCCTCAGAAGATGGAATAAAATAACACATATTCATCCTCTCAGTGACAGCTACTTCTTTAGAAGTGTATTTTGCTATATACACTGCTCAGACTATTGCAAGAAAGAAACTAGTTAAGATAATCAACTGGGAGATTCTAATTTCTGAAATGATAGTAGGCTAGTGATCGCTAGTATGCCTAAAATATGTATTAATAGAATTAAAAGAATTTTATAATCCATAGAAGGCACCCAAAATACCAATTTACATAGCTAAATTGTTGTTAGTTGCCATCAAGTCAGCCTCCAAATTACGGC